AATATAGGTAAGATATTTTTATATAAGGTACTTTACTATTACTTTTATAAATAAGAATAAATAGTTTTTTATATAATATTTATAAATATTATAACTTTTTTATTACTAAATAAATATATGTTTTATTTCTAATTTAAAATTCTAATTAAGCTTTATAAATCGTTTATAAGTTCTATTATAAAATAAAATATCTTTAAATAAATTCTCTAGTCTATAGATCTTATTATCTAAAATAAGATACTAATATAATATAAATATTACTTTAAGGTTATTTACTAGCTCTTAGTAAATTTATAATTTATAATAAATAATATTCTTTTTAGAAAGATATCTATAATTCTTAATAAGAACTTTATTTAGATTCTTCTAATTATATTATATAATTTATAAATAAATATTATTATTATATATTTTTAATAATTATTTATTTAGTTATAGCTTAAGTAATTCTACTTATAAACTAATATATAGATTTATAAAAGCGAGAATAGTTAGGAGTTTATTTACTAGATTAGTAAATTACCTAATAATTTAGACCTTAATAGAATAATAGTAATTCCGGATTATATAAACTAGCTAGTATTAATTATAGATCTAATTAATTATATTTATTTCTTAGATTTTCTTTTCCGGACTATTATAAATCTATTAATCTTCTATAAGTAATATCTCTTAATTATATTAAATATTATAGTTTTAAAGCTTAATATTTATATTTTTAGATATTTACTAAGCTAATTACAAATATACTAATTAGTAGATTTCCTAAATATAAATAAGTCTTTAGGTAATAACTTATATAAGCTATTTATAAAATAGCTATAAAATATTAATCTTTTTTTCTTATTACTATTTTAGCTTACTCTTAAGATTAGAACTCTAGTACTATTTTTATAAAACCTATATTTATAAAAAGATTTATATAATAAAACCCAAATAGTAATTATAAGCTTATAGGTATATTATATTAAGGCCCGCTTATTTAGAGGAAATTTTAATAGCCAGTTATAGGTAATTCTATAGATTAAGCTATTTATTATAAATACTAGTCTAGAAATTATTCTTTTCCGGAAATAGTTCTCGGTTTATTTATACTTTATAATAATTATTAATAAGTTATAAGATTAATTCTTTTATATTATTAGTTTAAACCTATAAATACCTGTATTTATTTATAAATAGTTTTATATAGAAGTTTCTCGTATATTATTTATAAAAAGCTTAAGTATTCTTTTATTATATAAAAACCTATTTAGAATACTTAATATAACTTATTCTAAAATCTTAGCTAATTTACTTTAGTATTTTATTTCTTATAAGTACTTTATAAATACTAGATAGCCTTATAAATTAGATTAAGGGATTTAGGAATCTATAATTATTTATAAGTATTTATAAGTATTTATAAGTATTTATAAGTATTTATAAGTATTTATAAGTATTTATAAGTATTTATAAGTATTTATAAGTATTTATATTTATTTATAAGTATTTATATCTATTTATAAATAACTTATAATTATTACTTTAAATATTTTAGGGCTTAAATAGACTAAGAATATTATATTATTAGATATTAAAAATATATATCTTTTCTAAATAACTTTTTATAAGATTTATAATTCCTTATTTTACTTATTTTTCTTTCTTTTCTTTTCTCTCTCTTTTTTTCTTTCCTTCTCTTTCTTCTCTTCTTTCTCTTTCTCTCTCTTTTCCTTTCTCTCTTTCTTTCTTTCTTTTTCTTTCTCTTCCTCTTTTTTTTTCTTTTTTTTTTCTTTTCCTTTTCTCTCTTTTCCTTTTCTATCTCTGGTACTAAATAATTTATTTATTTCTTTTCCTTTAGTATCTTTACCTCTTCTTTATAAAAAGCTACTAGCTCCTTATAGAGCTTAGTAAAACGGTATATTTTCTAAGAAAAAGTAAATAAGTAATAGTAATAAGAAATAATAAGGTAATAAACTATTTATATATTAGTTATAATCTATAATAATTTATAGTAAATATATATATATATAAAGATAATTTACTAGAAGTAATCCGGTTACTTATATAACTACCGGAAATAACCTAGTAAAGCGAATATAAGCTAGTAGTAATAAGGGTAAGAGCTAGAGCTAGAACTAGAACTAGAAAAAGAAAAAAAGTAATAGTAATATTTATAAATATTTATTAGATTAGTTATAATTTATAAAAGATTAGTAAATAGATATAAAAAATATTTATAAAAAGAATAATAGATATTCTTATTACTATAATAGTAATTAGTATAGCTTTCTCTAAACTAACTAGCTATAATTATATATATTATTTATATACCCGACTTATTAATATAATATATATATCTAGTAATATAAACTTAACTAATAAATTAGCTAAGCTTAGCCTCTAGATTAGTAAGCCGGATATAATTAGTAATATAGCTAGGCTATAAAACAGGTATTTATAATAGAGCTAATAAAGAAAATACTATTATAATATAGGTTAGATAAATAGACAGGGCAAGTAAAATAAGTAGGATAAGTAAGACTAGTACTAGTACTAGTACTAGTACTATTACTATTATTAGTATTATTATTATTAGTATTATTACTATTATTAGTATTATTACTATTAGTTCTATTATTATTATTACTATTACTATTACTATTAGTAATAGTAGTAATAATAGTAATAATAGTAGTAGTAATAGTAGTAGTACTAAAACTAGAGCTATAACTAGAGCTAGTACTAGTATTACTAAAGTAGCAGAAATAAATAAGAAAAAAGACATTTTATAAATTATAAGAAGTATTATAGGCCAGAGATAGGCCTATAGTAAATATAGAATTAACTTATATATATATATATATATTTATTAAAGAAAAGAAGCTTTGAAATTCGAAATTAAAACCTATCTTATTTAGCTTATCTAGAAAATTTTTAGTCTTTAAAAAGTGAATTTTTAAAGTGAATTTAAAGTTAGTAAAGCTAATATCCCTTAAATAAATATCTAAGATATCTAATTAATCTCGAATCGAGATTAGAGCAAAATTAAAGACTAGCCCCGAAGCTTATATAAGGCCGCCAGGCTTTAATTTTGGTAAAGCGGCCCAGATCTCGTATATAAATTATACTAATATATAAATATTTATTTTATTACTTTTATTATTTCTCAAAATACTACCTAAATTAAGAAATAATAAAGAGTATATAACCAAGGCCTTTATAGTAATAAATAAAGACTCTTGCTTTAAAGAAATAAAGGCTATAAGCTAGTTTAAGGCTACTTATTACTAATTAATAGCTTACTAATATAACTGTTTTATAAGCTATATAAAAGAAGAAATTAATAAAACGATTTCTTTATTTAAAGACCTTTATAATATTTTAGAGATTTTAAATTAAAGTCTTTAATAATTATATAATTATATGAATTTCTTTTTGAAAAACCAAATTAAATTTTTTTAATTAAAAGTTTATTTATTTAATAATAATAAATAAATATATTTATTTTTTAATATTTATTTTTTTATTTATTTTTTTATAATTAATTAAATTAAATATAATATTAATAATTTATATATTATTAATAATTTATATATTATTAATAATTTATATATTAAAAAAAGATATAAATATATATATATAAGTATTATTAAATCTTATATTTAAAGTAATTACTTTTTAACTTATTTAAAGCTTTAAATAATAATATTAAAAAATAAAATAATAAAAGTTTAATAAAAATAAATAAAAATAAATAGAAGTTTTAAATTTAAAATAATATATTAATTAATTTAATTTAATTAAATATATAATACTATATATAGTTATAAAAATAATATTTATTTTATTATAATAAACTTACTAATTAATATTTTACTTTTATTTGCTTTCTTTATTTTTTTATTATATAATATAATAATATAAAATTCGAAATATATTAATTTTTTTTAAAGAAATTAATTAACTTTTAATTTCGTTATATTTATAAGATATTTATTAATAAATAATAAAATAATAAAGTAAATTAATAAATTATAATATTATAATATTAGATTTAGTATTAAACTAATTTTTGTTTCTTTTATAAAATTTAATTTTTTTTTTAAATAAGAAGCTTTAATAATATATATATATATAATTAAAGAAATATAAGCCTAAAGTATATAATATTATTAGTAATATTATTAGTAATATAATAATAATATATAAGAGTTATTAATTTCTTTAATTACTATTCGAGATTTATTATATATAGTTTTAATATAATAATTAGAAATAATTAATAATTAAATTATAATTATTTACCTTAATTATTTTTTAATATATTAGTTTAAAATAAATTATTTAATAAATAAAAAATTATATTTATTACTATATATATATATAAAAGAAAATAATTATTATATAATAATTTAAATTATTTCAAGAAAAAAAGAAATTATTTTAATTTTTATATAAGAAAGTATAACTTTGAATTACAGAAATCTAATTACTTTATAGCTTCTAATATTAAAGTACTTAATATAATAGTATTATAATACTATAATAGCAAGTTATATTTTATATAAGATAATACCCCGATATATGTATTATATAAGGTTAAGAAAATAATTTGAGGATAAGAGCATAGATACCTCCGACTGGCCACCTTACTTACTTGATCTTAACCTGATAGAACATGCTAGAAGAAGCTCAAAGCCTGAGTTTTGAAACACTCCCCTAATGAGGTTTCATGAAGTGTAGCTCTCGCTATGAGTGTAAGTTAAGGTTGTCAGAATTGCGGACAGTGGGCACTGTGGATTCGAACTGCCCGGAGATCATCGCTACGACTCCTTGGTTTGTGCAGGGTTTTTATAAGGTGAGGGTCAAGCTAAGGAAATAATATTGGGGTACCTCTGACAAGGCATGCCTCTTGCAACTTTTTAAAGGAGCATGAGACAGGAATGGAACAATTGTAACACCAAGCATGAAATAAAATCAGGAGATGTTAACGTGTATCCGACCCTCATTTCCTGTCACATTATAAACTCCCTTTTCATTCCATCTTTCAAATCCGGGATCCCATCCCATTGCGCCTCAACTTTCTTTCCCTCCAAAATATTCTTGATATTCAACCTCGTACTCCACAAAACGTTATGCGTTCGTCCTCTTTCTCTTGTCTCGGTCCCAGCCCGGTGTCCCGTAATATCGCTCTCTCGGTTGGCACTGCCAGCCGGTGCATGAGCGCCAAAGATTGGGGGGAATATGTGCGTACACCTTAGTATACCACTACTACAAAGGCGTCCTAATCCCTGATCAAATCCCTGGTTGAAAGGCTCGATAGACATAGCATTGACAAGCTTCTGTGCTCCGATAAATGAGACTGCATATGTCCAGCTGCATACGCCGTGGCCGCTTTTATACATGATTCGAGTGCCGGGTTCCTTCCACAAACTTGCCGGCTCCGGCGAGCCAGCTGGGACATGTATATCTGACTCTCGAGGCACGGTTGGGTCGTTCTTGAGGACGAAGCGGCGTGTGCCAGGGTCCGAATGACTTCCGCAATGCCCAAGCCAGATGATGTCCCAGTTCGCGCCGTATGGTGAGTGGGTTGGACTTGAGGCACTGTCTTTTCCTGTTTGTGGCTCGTCTTCGGTGTTTTCGGCAGAAGGGTTGTCTTTGGGGCGAGAAAGGAAGCGATTCCCCCGAGCAACATCAAGGAGTTGATATTTCAGGTGCAAATCCCAATCACTATCATCTTCTGTTTCAACATTAGATGCTGTTTGGCAACCAAGGTCGCGCAGAAGAAAGTGTCCTTACCCATTATTAAAGCGGACGATAATCTTTCCCTAATGATTGTTCTCACTGCATTCAATTCCGCCCTCCATGCTCCAATTGTGTGTACTCCCTCGTTGATCGTTTTAGGGTCGAATGTTGGGGGTAATGATGCCTCAGAGATGTCTATTCCACTTATTCCTGCTATGACTTCGAATTCGAATCCTGTGATTGAAGACGAAACGATTTGAGCATCTAGCTTATCATGTCGTTCGGGGAGGTTAACCAGAAGAATTTTTTGGAACTAGGGCACCAAAGTAAGCCTGCGTATTCGAAATTCATATGTGAGGGCTCACTCCAAGTGTTTCGTTCATCACATCACTCAGATTCCCATCCAATACGCCAAGGGAGTAGTTCGACAGCCCTCCCGTCGCTTGAGACGCTTGCTCCTCACTGATGTTGATTCTCTGTGCAGTACTCATGGATTGTTCTCCTGCTTCTTCCTCTCCATTATCCTCCTCTCCAGTGTTCTCGTTAGCATCGCCACTTCTCAAATTCCAGATGCCACTGCAAAGCTGCTGCACTTCCAATATCTTCTCGAGTTCCAAATTCGTTTTTAAGCAACTTTGCGGGCACACATCTTCACCTGCGGCAACCAAATTATGGTTCTCTGGTGCTGGACAGAGTCCAAGCTTCGTCCCTTCCAGAGAAGAATTGTAGAACCAGTGGACTACAAATACAAGGAGCAAGAAGGCTCCAAGTCCAAGAGCACGCGGCGTTTGGACCATCGTGTGCATCGAAACTCAGCATCGGCTTTCATCTCCAGAAAAATAGGATGATAGGAGCGAGGATCAAGAATTTACATTTCTAAGGAGTTGCGGAAGGGGGGAAGGGGAATGTGTAATTGAGACAATGTCTTTCTACCTGCATAAATATCATAATAAAAAGTGATAGAATTTCGGATTTGGCTGAGCTTTGCCACAGGAATTTCGCCATGCTCTATTTCTACTCATCGATGAAGACCGGATACTTGCTCCGAGCGAACAATTTGAGCTAACGGAAGGGTGGAGGGGGCGTTTTAGTTTTTCCGACAGCTTTGGCTTTATTGGCGTACTTAGGCGGTAGCTTCCTTACATGAACCTCAATACTTGCTGATATTACTCATCCTTCCCATCTGAAGACCCACCTTTAAACTACTGCTGCTATAGGTAGGTATTAGTTTATCGTGTTCGAGTTGTTATATTAATTTTCCTGACTCGCGCCCTGTACTAATCCCACCTTTCCCGACTCACGTACTCGATTTCCCGCTTAAATGCACGCCCCGCTTAAATGCACGGCCGAATTGCATAGAAAATCGCGAAAACTTATAGTTTTAATACCTTTATAACTTTTATATTAATTAATAAAAAAACTTACTTTTTAAATATAATATATAAAAATAGCAATAGTTATATATTATAACCTTAAAAGTAATAATATCGTAAATATAAGTACTTTATTTTAAAGGCTTATAAAAGACGTAATTTTTTTCTTAAAAAAATATTTTTAAAAATTAGTTTATTTAGAAATAAAATATCTAAAAATAAAAATTTAAGTTTTTTTGAATCTTATATATTAATGCATATATATTTATATAAAGAATTTATATTTTATATATTATTAAGTAATTGAAATTTTAATTTTTTTAAAAACTATAAAATAATAAATAATAATAGTTTTATATAAAAGCTATTAATTAAATTTAAAAAAACTACTTATATTACTCATATAAGATATAAAAAACTTAGAAATATTTTTATTTAATTTTTAATCTTTAAAATATTAAAATATTATAGTTTTTTTTAATATGTTTTAAAATTAGTAAATAAAATAAGTATTTATTAAATTTATTTAATAATATAGGCTTTCTATAAATTAAGAACTATATTTAAGAATTAAGATTTATTTTTATTTTAATTCGTATATAAGAATTTAAATAATTATAATAATTATTAAAAACTTATATTAAAAATTAAATTCATATATATAATAAATATTTTTTAGACTTTTAAGGGCTTAAGCTTCTTTATAAATAGTATTAAAGAAATTGAATTAATTAATTTTTTTTAAAATAAATTACTCTTAAGTAATTATTTTAAAAAATTAAAATTAAAACTTAATTTTTTAATATTAGTTTACTAGTAATATATAGTACTATTATATAGGTATAGAAATACTAGTTATATTAGTTAGTAAAGTTATTATTATTTAGAAGTAAGAATTATAGTATTATAATATTAATATATAATTCCTAAATCTACTTAGCCTAAAGAAGTCTAGTTTACTAGTCGAGTTACTAATAAGATATAAGGTTATATAACTATATTCCGTATCTTATATTCTATTACTTATATTTTATTACTTATATCTTATATCCCGTATCTCGTAACTATATATATAACTCCTAAAGAAATAGCTATACTAATACTAGAAACTCTCTAAAAACACGAAAAATAGTATTTCTCACTAATTATATATAAATTCCCTAATCCGGTCTAGTACCAGATTTCCCAAATACTTTATATATTTATATTACTTCTAAGGTTTTAGTTATATACTAAAGGCCGCGGCCTTTTATATATAACTTTCTCTCTTATAATATTTTCCTATTTTATATATTTATTTCCTATTCTATTTATACTTAATCTATTTCTCTATATTTAATTATATAGTATTTATATTAATTAGATACTTAAAGGCATTTATTAGCTTTAATTTCATTATAGAATTAATAGAATTCGATTTTCTCTTAATTTATTTAATTTCTATAATCTCTTATTATTTATATATCTAATAGAAATATATTATATTAATTATTAGATACTTTTCTCGAGTACTTCCTAATTTAATAAGACATTTATATAATAACTTTGAATTTATATAGACTATTAATAGTAGTTCTATTTCTAGTATTTTATTAATTATAAATTTAACTAAAGTGCCTATATTAAAACTATAAGCTATACTATAAAGTTCTAAAACTAGAATACTTCTAATAACTTTCTTATATTTAGTAAAGAACTAGTAAATAATATTAGTATATCTAGTTTTATTTACTAGAACTAGAATATATTTGATTTAGGAAAAGAGATCTCTATTATTTATAAAAATAATTAAATATAAGAACTTCTTTATTAGTTTTATAAATCTCAGTTCTCTAGTAATATTCTTAATTTGCTATTAAATATATTTATTAAGTACTTTTATATTAGTTTCCGAGAATTTAATAGCCTAAGCTATAATTAATAGGTTATATAAAGCTTCTAGTTAATAAACTAATATAATATATATTTTTCTAGTATATTAGGTAATATATTAGTTCTTAATAAAAAGATCTTAATAAATAGTACTTCTATTACTTATAATAGTAATATTTTTTATAGAAATAGTTCGGAGGTTTTTATATTAGTATTTCTATATAAAAATAATTCCAGTAGTATTTATATAAATAATACTTTTATTAAACTTGAAATTATAATTAATAGTAAGGCATTTATACTTCTTAGCTAAGAACTTAGTTTCTTAAAGCTTTAGTTACTCTGTTTTATAAAATTATTATTTTTAATAAATAAAGTATTATTAGTTTAAAGGCTAATAATTCCGAAGAATTACTTATTATAGAGAAAATAAGGGTTATAAGTTAATTATTTCATAGAAAGCTTATTAATATAATAAGAATAATAAGTCTTAAATTAGTAGTTCCTAGCTTCCGGTATACTATATAATAGTTTTATAACTTTTAGAACTAAATTATTATTTAGATTTAGTTCTTTAATAAGCTTATAAAGTAAATTAATATAAAAATTATAATTAAATAAGGTTATTAATTAAATATAAGCTTATAAGATATTATATAAATATAGTTCTATAATATCTATTATTATAATAGTAATACTAAGAATAATTCTCTGGCTAATATATTAAATAGTAAATAATTATATTAATATTATATATTTCTTACTATTATTATAAGTCTAGATAACTAGTCTCAATTTCTTAAATTCTTTTTCTATGTCTTTATTCTTAATTTTATTAATAAACCGGGAATTAAAGATATATATTTTCTTTAATACCTGAAATCTAGAAGTAATCTTAAATATACTCTTTTCTAGAAAACTAATAACTTTAATTTAACGGGAGTTCTTATATAGGTTATTATCTTATAGGAATACTATAATATTCGGGTTCTTATAAGAGTATTCTTTATTATACTTTAGTAAAATAACAGGAATAATAAGAGAAATTATACCTATATTATCTTTAGTCTTATTATAGAATTCGGAAATAGATTCAGGTTCGGGGCTATTAGTAATAATCTTAATATTCCTTATATAAAAGAGCTTTATAGAGATTAAGTAAAAGGTAATATTACTATATAATAGAACTAGTATATAGTTTTCTTTATTAATAACTACTAGCTTATATAATCTATTCTAATTACTAGATTATAGTAACTATTACTTAGTTCTTATATTTTAAGTAAATTGTACTAAAAGTTAGTAAAAATACCAACTTATTATTCCACGAAAATATATTAGAACTAGATCTAAGAATTAAAACATAGACTATTTCAAACAATTCTAATTGTTCTATTACCTTGAAATTAAAATTAAAAGTAATATAGGAAAGGTTTAATAAAGGTAAAGATACGAGGTAGTATAATTAAGCGAAAATAGGTATAAAATCACAATTTAATATTATTCCTAGGATTTACTCCTGAATTAACCTATAAACTTAGCTTATAAGCGCTATATAAAGAGATAAAAATGTACGGAAGACTCGAATTAGTTAGGTGCTAATTGGGCGTTACGTGAAATTAATGCCTTTACCGTAAAACTAGGAAGTGAATCAGGTAACTTTTATAGTAAAAACAGCAAAATACGAGAACTAAGTAACTAGTACTATAACTAGTATTTCCTTTATATTATATAAGAATATTCGAATTCAAGGAAAGTTTATAAATATTAATAGTACTAGAACTATTTCGGGCATTTAGGGCATTTATAATCTGGTATTTAGCTTAAAACTTCTGAATTTCTACTATTGCCTTCTTAAGTACTACTAATTGCTATAATATAATTAGTAATAGGATATTATATTTAGTTATTTGAGATAAAGTACTATAGACTAAAAGAATTAGAATAATACTATTAGGTCTAGCAAAATTATTAATAGTTTTAAAAGCTATTTAAAATATAATATTCTTATTAATTCTATTAATTTTAGCTATAATAATAAAGTAAATATATTAAATTAGGTTATAATAGTATTTTATAGTTCCGAAGAAATTATAAGCTTTTATAAAAATGATTTTAATTTTAGTTTCTACAATATTTGCAAGCTAAGTAAACTTCTTATTAATAAACTATTTTCTAATATTTGCTATAATCTAATTAAAAAGGCCTAAATAGGTATTAATCTAATATTACTTTAGGGTATTTCAAATATATAATATACTAATATTTTAAAGCTATTAGCTAGCTTAATATTAAGTGCCTTTATTAATAATATAAAGTATAGACTTATCGGAAATATAGAAAATATTAATAATAATAAAGTAATTAAAGCTAATATTATTTCTTAGATTAAACTTGAATTATTCTAGTAATTATCTAAATTTCTAGTATTACTTATAGTATTTTATAAGATATTTAAGGGCTTCTATATTAATATTATAGCTTACTTATTTTAGTATATTTCGGAGCTTATTAATAAATAAATAACTAAAATAATAATACAGATATTATAATTTAATTTCTATAAGAAAGCAAGAATTCGGAAATAAAGCTTTATAAAATAATATTTTAAAGCAGGAAAACATATCTAAAACATTATACTATAAATATAAAGCATTTATTAAAAGTAATAAGATAATTAGTAAGATTATTAAATAAACTCCTAGCTTATTTATATTAGCTAAACTAAATAGAAATAAAGTTTTTATAAATATAATATAGAATTATACTTATCTAATTAGTATTCTTAGTATTATAAATCTAATAAAGAATATAGATCTAATACTAAACTAGATATTAACTTAATCTTTAGTAGTTTTATTAAGTTTAATACTATTATTAGTTTACTATAAAGCTTGGAATTAATTAGAACTAGTAGTTAAGAATCTAGAAGCTTTAGTATTAATTATAATTCTATAAAAGTAATAAGTATTATATTTTAATATATTATTAATTACAAATATCTAGGTATTTTCTATTTATTTAATAAGCTTTAAAATATAGTTTTTACCTATTATCTAGTATAAAGAAAAGAGAAGCAAAATTATTTATAAAGTATTAGTTATAGAAATAGTAGAAGTAAGGGCTATAGAAGTAGCTAAAAAGCTTTTAATAAAAATAAAATAGAAATTAGAATAATATTTCTTTCCTTTATTTATTTCTATTAGTAAGGCTTTAAAAGCATTACTTACTAGTTTATTCTTATTACTTTTATTATTCTTTACTTCTTTAAATTTAATAATATATTATATATAAGTATTACTAAAGTATTTATTAAAGTTATAAATATTTCGGAATCTAAATTAGTAAATATTTCTATTCTTAAATTAAGCCTTTTTAGCCTCTTATTTCTCTAATATATATTTCTATAAATAGTATTTGGGTTTCTTATATATAAAATACGACTTTAGAATATAATTATTATAATTATAAGACTTGAAATAATTATTACGGGTTCCGAAGTTATAGCTAGGTCTATATTAATAATTTCCGGACAGATAGTAATTTAAAGAATTTAAAGAATAGTATTATTAATTAATAAGATAGGTTTTAGTAATAATTTGTTATTTTTTCTTATAAGTAGTAATAGATAATTAGAGCTTATTAATAAGCTAGCCGAGATTATTAGGAGAATCCGAGATTATATATTAATATACTAGTAAGCCTTAATAGAAAGTAATAATCTTATTATATAAGAATTTAATATTTTATAAGACAGAAATAAGGCTATACTATAATTTATATAGATTATTAATTAGTATTTAGATAAGCTTAAATATTGTCTTTTTAGAATTCTTTACTATTATAATTACTAAGGTAATAGTATTCTATTTATCTAAATTTCAATAATAGAAACCGGGGCTTTTAAAGAAGCTATAGATATTTATATAGGCCTTTTTATATATATGGCTCGAGAGCTAGTTATTATAGAAGTAGTCTTATACTAGTTCCTTTAATATAGTAGGAAAAGCTCTTACTAATATCTTTTCTAGAAGCTTTATATATTAGTAAATATTAAGGAAAATAGTAAGTTTATAATTAAAACTATTATTAGTTCTATTATATTTCTATATTTCGGAATATATCTTTATTATTTCCCTAATAAGCTTCCTAGCAGAAATAATAGATACTAATTAATAGTAGTTCGGGTTTAGTAGTAATACTAGTAATAATAAAGATAGAAATAGTAAATAGCCTTAATTTGAAAAAAGTAAATAAATAGCTTAATTACTCGATTAAGATTATCTAGTTCCCTTATATCTAGTTTTATCTAGAATAAGATAAACTAATATAATAGGTCCCTGAAAAAGATCTATTCTAATTAGATTATTATTAATAATATTAGCTTTATTTTATATATTCTTTATTTTTTCTTAGATAAGATTAATAAAGAATTATATAATAGTAAGGTTTTTATAATTCTATTTAATATAAATACTATTATAATAAAGTTGGGCTCGAAGATTTTATATAAGTATATAGTTAATTAGACTATATATTATAGTATTAAAGTTTTTAAAGTTATTCTGAAATAGATCCTATAAATTATTATTACTTTTCTTATATAAAATATACTAATATATCTTAGTAGTTATATATTTCTGAAGTTTAGCCTTTATTATAGTTACCGGATTAATACTATTCTCTTATTTCTTAATTAGTTCCTTTCCCTCGTCGGCATCTATACTAAACCGAGTTCAGGTTCTCTCTAGTATATATGTATATATAGTTCGTGGCAGGAGGGGTTTGAAGGTAAGGTAGTTCGTGGTAGGTTCGTGGAAAGGGTTTGGTAGTAAAGGTATCCAGATGCCTGGTTTAGATGCCTGGTTTAGATGCCTGGTTAAGATGCCAGATACCTGGTTAAGATACCAGATGCCTGGTTTAGATACCTGGTTGAGATACCGGATGCCTGGTTATTGAGATACCAGATATCTAGTAGTTAAGATGCCAGATGCCTGGTGGGATATTAAAGTAAATATTTCGTCTATAACAAGAAATTTAGGAAGTGAAATATTATGATTCCGGGAGGGTCTAAAGCTCGAAGGACTCGATTTTTAATAGTAAAATCGAAGTAGTAGTTAAAGAGCTTTAAGGGCATATATAGGGCATATATTCCGGAGAGAGGGTCCTATAAATACGGGTATTATATAAGTAGAAAAGATGGTTTCTAAGAAAGTAGTTTTAGGGCCAAAAGAAGTTAGTTTTGAAGAATAATAGAAGTTGGATAAATAGATAGATAAATAGCTAACTACTTATTAATTAGTAAGATCTAGGTATCTTTTCCGTAGGCTACTAAATACTTTTATAAAGTTAATAAGTAGTTTCCTCCTTTAATATAAAATAGACTAGATTTGTTTTAGGTTACTAAATACTTTTAGAACTAATCTAAAATCTTCTCTAATCTATATATATAAACTAATTAGTATTAGTTTACTCGTAATACATAGTACTATTATATAGGTATAGAAATACTAGTTATATTAGTTAGTAAAATTATTATTATTTAGAAATAAGAATTATAGTATTATAATATTAATATATAATTCCTAAATCTACTAAGCTTAAAGGGATCTAGTCTACTAGTCGAGTTACTAATAGGATATGAGGTTATATAACTATATCCCGTATCTCGTATCTCGTAACTATATATATAACTTTTAAAGAAATAGCTATATTAATATTTAAAAAATCAAAACTTTAAAATTATATTTCTTATTTTATAAGGCATTTAGAAGCTATATTTAAGCTATGAAATTTAATATATATTATTTTAAAATAAATTATATAAAGGCTTTATAAGATTTATTATTATTATAAAAATTATTAATCTTTTTAATAAATTATTTATTTCTTAAAAAAGTATAAATATTATTAGTAAAATTATGAAATTGTTATAAAAGTAATATAAAGTATAGAAATAGAGTACTTAGTAATTCTATAATAGCTTACCGTTTATAAATATAATTTACGGTTATTTAATAATTAAATATTTTAGTTTTCTAGTAAGGCGTGCATTCAAGCGGGCCGTGCATTTAAGCGGGAGATCGAGTAACTAGCTGCTCGACGTGCCCTATCACTACCTCCTCTCATCCATTCATCTTCATCACAACAACATGCCAACCCTCTTTGCCAAAGCAACAACAAGACTTAAACCCTCCGTCGCAAAAGCCACCAACTCACCTTCTTCCACACCACTACCTCTCCCTCCCATCGCCAACACATTCACCAACGCGCCAAAATGCCGACCCCCCACCTAACATCCACCACGCCCCTCCCTCCGAACACGGCAAAATGGATCGAATTCCTCCACCTCACTTACACGGACTCCCGTGGCGTGCCTCGAACGTGGGAAGCATGCGGACGCAAGACGCGCGGTGCCAGCGGCATCGACGCCGTCGCCATCTTTGCCCTGCTCAAATCATCACGTGGCAAAGAACCGTCCACCATCCTCGTCCTCCAATACCGACCCCCGGTCGACGCGATCTGTGTGGAGCTCCCTGCTGGACTGATTGATAAAGACGAGTCACCTGAGGTGGCAGCACTGAGGGAGTTGATGGAGGAAACCGGGTTTGAGGGGAAGGTGGTTGGGTGCAGTCCTACGGTGGTGAGTAATCCGGGGATGAGCACGGGGAATATGCGTGTTGTTACCGTGGAGGTGGATGTTGAAGGGGAAGGAGAAGTGGAAATGCCGAAGCAAATATTGGAAGAGGGCGAGGATATTGAGGTTGTGGTTGTTCCGCTGGGGGAGTTGTATAAAAGGCTTGTGAAGTATTCAGAGGAGGGGAAAAAGGTTGATTCCAGGCTTTGGCATACGGCTATGGGGCTAGAGTTAACGAGACAGTTGAAGTAGGTGGTGTATAGTTCTTGGGAGTGGGCAGTGTGTCAAAGAACTACTCACACTACTCATACTACTCATGAATATTCGTGAGTAGCGTAATTCCCAAAAAATTTGAGTAGAGAAGAGTATATACTTATCAGTAGTTATTACATGACTTTAATAAAATCAAGGTTTACTTAATAATTATTAAATAACTAAGGTACTTATTAAGTAGCTATAATAAATAATAAATAGAACTTATATAAAACTAGCTAAATACTAATTTTCTATAATAATAAACTAATTATTCTTCTTAAAATCTTGCTTTTTCTTCTTTTTCTTCTTTTTTTATTTTTTTATTTTATTTTTAGCCTTCTTTAATTTGTTTTTAAATAACTTCTATCTTGTTAAGCAAAATATTATTTCAAAAGTACTTTTATTAGATTTATTATATAATTTAATAATAATAAAAGTATTTTAGAAAAAGAATCTTTTATTAAAAGCCGAGAAAGCCTGAATTTCTAATTATTTTCTAATTATTAAAGCTAAAATAAAAAATCTAGCTATATTAAACTTCTAATAATTTAATAGCTTAATTTATATATATATATATATATATTAGTACTAATATATTAAAGAATATTAAGGAAATTTCGGATAATTATTTAATAGAATTTAAATAAATTTTATTTATTCTTTTATTTATTTGTTTTTCTTTAAAATAAATTACTAATTTATTTTCTATTTTTAAAAACAAATTAATAATATATATATCTAAGTTATTAGAATCGAAATTAGCTATATTTCGATTCAAGAAATTAGATTTAGCTTAAGATATATTTAAATTTAAATTAAAGAACTAATTATTAATTTATTATATATATTTAAAAATATATTACTAAATAAACTAATACTAATTAATTCTTTTTATTTAATATAAGAATTAAAAATAAGAACTAAATATAAAGCTATATTTTTATTATTTAAAGTATTTATTTTAGAATAATATTTTCGAAGCCTAGTTATAATAATATAAAAAGAATTTAAAAAAAGATTTATTTTAAACTCTTTTTTAAAAATTTCAAGTTTATTATATATTTTATATATTTCAAATATAATATAATATATAATAAAGTAGTTTTTAGCTTATAATTTAGTTATAGCTTTAATAAGTATTAAAATTATATTTAAAATATTATTTAAATAAGTATTTTTAATATTAGTCAAAACTAGACTTTTATTAAAACTAGAATTTTATTATTTATAATAAGCTTTAAAATAGAAGCTGAATAATAAAAGCTCTTATCTTTTTTTATATTTATATATTTACTAGTAAGAGATTTATTAATAAATATAATAAAGACTTTAATTTTAATTTTTTTTAAATAAATTATAAATAATATTATATATTAATATTACGGGCCAGGCCTTTAATATAAAACAAACTAGTAGTTCTTAATATAAGAAGAATTTATTAAAAAGAAAAGCTAAAAGCAAGCTCTAATTTTTGGGAAATAAAGAAATATAATTATATAAAAATAATCTTATAAAATCTAGTATAAATATTATATAATAAATATAAAAACCGGGTTTTAATTTACTATAGGTAGTATTTATTAATATAAATTATTAAGCTATTTATATTAATATTATATAGAGAAATAATTTAGTATAAACTATTAATTACCTAAAATATTATAAATAAACTCTAATATATTTAATTAATTTATAAAAGTTTAAATTTATATTTAATTTATATAATATTAAGCTTTAAAAACGCCTTATAAAATATAATATAAAAATTAAAAATTGAGGCTATTTTATATTTAAAGTAATTAAAAATACAAAATATAATTCGAATTTAATAATTTATAATAAATATTATATATTAAATTACTTAATAAAACTATTAATAAGGTCTATAAAATAATATATATATTTAAAATAAATTAATAAATATAAGATTTTTTTTAGCTTTTAATTTATTTTTATTATTTATAATTAAATATGAATTCGAAAAATAAGCTATTATTTTAATAAAGCTCAAGAAATTCAAATATAAATTATATTATAGTTCTATATTTTATTTAATATCTAATACTTAATATCTGAGTTTAATATTTGAGTTTAATATCTAGTATCTGGAATTATATAATAATTATATATAATAAAGTTAAAGAAAGCTATATTCTGGGAAATTTAGAATACTAAGCTTTATTAGGCTAAGCTATAAGTAAGAAATAATAAATCTTTAAAAAATCTTAATTTAAGATTTTCTTTTCTTTTTAGTTTAGTTTTTTTAATAAATAATTCTCTTATAAATATCTTATTTATAGGCTTGTTTTATAGAACTATAATATTAAATTAAGTTCTTTTTTTTTATTTAAAAAGACTCTAGAATATCTTTTCTGAAATAATTATTTATTTCTAAAGAATAATTCTTTATATATAAATTATATATATCTAATTCTTTAATATAGCTTTTCTAAAAATCTTTACCTATATCTCGTAATTTTTCTTTTTATATCTAGTATTAAAAATACTTTTAAAATAGAATCTTTTATTTTATTTAATATTTATTTTAATATACTTATATTATAATAAGTTTAAATTAAGATTTAGATAAATACCTAAACTAATTATATAACCCTAAATGGCTTTACTACTAGTTTAGTTTATTTATTTAATATAAAGAAAATTTCCCGAGAATATTTTATTAATAGAAATTATATTCTAGATAATATATACTTCTAATTTAAATACTATAATATAGTATTTAACTTTCTAATACCTTATATTAAATAAATATATCCGGCCAGAAAAGTTCCTAAATATAATAAATTCTATTTTATAAAAGTTCCGGATTTCTCGAAATTTAATAATAATAAAAACCTAATCTATAATTATTAGTAAATTCAAATTATTAATAAATTCAAAGTTAATATAAACTATTATATAAATAAGAATACTTATATATATTATATTTTTAATTATATAAAAGATAATATTTAATATAAGTCTAATATTATTAATTTTTTCGAAATATTTATAGAAATAATTAATTATCTTAGTAAATACTTTATTAACTTTTATTATATATATAAAGCTAGATATAAATATAAGAAACTATAAATAAATAAGATTTAGATCTTTTATAAATTTAAAATCAAGTTTATTTATTTAATAAATAAAGCTTAGATCTATTTATAGAACTATTTTAATAAGCTATATAATAAGCTAATATTTCTTCTTTAAAAATAACTTATAAGCTAGTATTATTATATTTATATATTTTATTATTTATATTATATAGCTTTATTAATTAATTCCGAAATAAAAGTATTATAGTTTTATAAAAGCCTTAGAAAATATATTAAGGCTCGAGCTATTATTTCTTTTCTAATTTCTATTATTTTTAATGTCTTTATATTTGTTACTCTTAAGCTCTATATAATAACTTTATATATCTTTATATTAGCCCGAATGTTTCTAATTATTAATAAACTAGTTATTAAAAGAAAAAGTATTTTTATTTTTATTTTAACTTATTTTAACTATTTCTAGACTATTTATATAATCTATAATTATTTAATACTAAAGTATATTACTAATATTAAGAAACTAGAAAAAGATAATAAGCTTATAAAAGCTAATATAAATAATATATTAGGAAATAAGAATATCTAGAAAAAGGCTTTTTTTTTAAATAAACTTGAAATTAATTTTATAGAAATTAATCTAAATTAGTTAATAAAAGAACTATACTTAATTCTATTCTATAGCTTATTTTATAATAGATATTTAATTAATGTCTTTTTTTTTACTAATTCCGAAATAAATAGTTTTATATTTATTAATATTTTAAGTTCTAGTATTTACTTAAATTTATTAGTATTAAGAAATATAATAACAAGCTAGAAACCCGTATTATTTATTTCTTAAGAATATATCTTATTATTAACTAGAAATAATAATATAATATTTCCTTATTAATTCTTAAGCTTAGATTTTATAATCTTATTCTCGGCTACAAATACCTAGAATATTTTAATTTACTTTTTAATATCTGAAACTAATATTTAATATAACCCGAGATTTTCTTTTTATTACTTTTAGTTATATAAGAGATTCCTAGATTTTAAAAAACTTTGTTTTCTATTTCGAGATATATCTTTTATTCTAATTATTAAATAAATATTAAAGCCAGAAATTATAGATTTAATAAAGAGAACTAATAATAAACTATTAGAAAATAAGCTTTTATTAAGAATTATAATATAGAAAATAACTTTATTATTAATTTCTCTTTATATACTAGTTCTATTAATAATACTACTTCTAAATATAATTCTATTAATTCCGAATTAGATTTAAAGAAAGAGCCTAACTAGTATTAGTTATTTCTATTTCTTAAAAACTAAAGATTAAATACTTCTATAAATAAAATACTTAAAATAGCTATTACTAAATTAAAAACTCTTTAGCTAATATTATTTATTTTATAAATATCTTATATTAAAAGAAACTATATATAAAAAAAAAACTAATAGAAGCTTTTATTATTAAGATTACTAGTATTAGTTTTATAGATATATATTATAACTTCTAATAATTCAAAAATAAAGCCTTTATTATAAGCTTTTATAAGATTAATAGCTTTTTTAAATAATAAAGAAAGTTTTCTTTAAAAGCTAATATTAAAGACTTTACTATTTCAGAATATATTATATTAAGTTTAATAATATCTTTTCTAAAAAATTCTTTAATCTTTTTTTTTTAATTATATAATTATAAAATATAATTAAAAAAGAAAATAAAGAAATATCTTTTAAAGAATCTTAATAAAGGCTTTATTATTTTTAACTAATTACTATTTATAACCTCTATTCTTTTTATAAGAAAGTCTAATAAAAGTTTATAGTTTAATATTAATTACTAAAAGCTTAACTAGATTACTTATAAAAACTATTATTTTCTTTCTTTTATTAATAAAATCTTAGCTAAAATTAGCCGAGCCAAAATCTTTATAAAGCTTAATATCTAATAGGCTTTTTACTAAATCTATATAAATTCTAAATTAAAAGAATTAATAATATTTTATATATATTATAAAATATATAAATATAAGGTTTTATTTTTCGAATTAACTAATAAACTAGTTATTTATTAGTATTATATAAATAATATTTTATTTAATTATTTCAATAACTTTT